TTTAGATAGTAAAAGCCAGGATAAATGACCAATGATTACATGCTACTAAATGTTAAAAAAAGAAAAAGGAAGAAAATAAATCCCTGCATATCAGTTCAGTATCCAGAGAAATTTCATTAAAAAAAAAAAAAATTCAATTAGTTCCCTGCACATGTCACATGGAACACATCAGTTTCACTGCTTCAAGTACAATTAGGCTGAGAGACCGCAGAGCGTTAAGAAAGGAAGCTAGGTCAGGGCTCCTGAGCGCAGCAACATTGCCACACTCAGCTCTGCAGGGAGGTGACTCCCATCTCCCCTCAAGAGCTTTGTCTAGACAGTGACAGTTCGTTAAGCGCCCGGCGGTAAATGAAACTTCAATAGCTGAGTCTAGTCATGTTTTTGATCTGCAAGACAATTAAAAATATATGAATTCCCAGCATCTTAGGTGTGTGAGGGTTTTGTTGTTTTTTGTTTTTTTTTTTCCTAAGAGAAGTCTCACAATAAAAATAATTAATAATGTATTCTGCTGCTATTATCTCTATACAGAATTGCTTTTCTTGGTGTTAATTTAGATTTTTTTTTCTCCAAGACAAGATGCACTTTGACTAATGCAGAATTCTGCCCTAGAGCAAACTGAGATTTTTACCAGAAACAACAAATAATGTTTTTAAAGGTAAATTAAATCACACACCATTCTTGTTGTGTAAAAGTCTTTATTTAAAACATACCCTGCTCATTTCAGCGGTGAGTATAAGGTATAATTAAGTAGAAATACACAATTTTTATTTGTGTAAGAGCAGAATTACTACAGACAGAAGCAGAATCCAAATGAAACTTTTTTTAAGAAAAAATGACATTTTCAAAAAAAAAAAACAACCCTAGGTTAGCCATTTAACCTACTTATTACTTACACTTCCAACGTTAAGTCTTGGCAAACCGAGATCACCTTTTATATGTATAAGGCAAATGTTTAAGAGGAATACAGATGATCTTCCTAAAACAACATCTTAAAAGGCATGCGTTTTCTCATCCCCGCATGTTTCCTCACCTGTCCCTATAAATTTGTGATGTAAACACCACTGGCCAGAGGTAACAGACCAGATAGTCTGACCTGTAGTAAAGATTTTACTTGAGCCCAGCTTGATTACCCTGCACTATAGCTAGAGTATTCTGTATAAAGTTAAACCATAAAACACATGCATTTTTATTATCAATGGTTCCTTCACAAGGCACATTAAAAGGGCCCAAGAAAGCTTTTGTTTCATTTTCCTTGATGAAGGTCATTGTCAAAGTTATTGGAAAGGCAAAATTGAGATGTTCCATGAAGCTACAAGTGGCCCACAAGTGGAAAAGAAAAACCACACAGGAGACAAACATCTTTGAGAATAAACAGCAACATTATGATGGCACTTATCAGGCAGGACTAAAGACAATTTTTTGTTTGCTTTGCCACATTTCTGCATTAAGGCAAGAATTTATTAGCTAATCTATTAGCACATATTTTGCTGGATGCTTATCTTAGCAATGGCTAAGATAAGAGTAACTGAAAGGAAAGAGTTTAAAATAAAAAAAAAGCCAAATGCTGTTAAAGGTGGTTTGCAAGAGATTGTTAAAAATAAACTTGTCTTTGCCTCTTATTTAATATGTGCAAAAAGTGCATCAGAGGATTTTAGAGGTTTTTACACCTATTTTAGCAGGTTCAGAATAAACAAAAGAATTTAACATAAGTAACAAAAAAGAAAATTAAAACCCAGCATAAAATTGCAATACACTACAATATGTATGATATATCTACATGTTTTCATCAAAAGACAAAGTGAAAAATGGTTTAACTATTTCATTCCACATTTGGTTTTAAACAGACTCCAAGGCAAAGATCATTTCTTCCTTTCAATTCCTGGGTATAAACATCATTCTTGGGTAAAGCTGCCAAATACCACGTACTCACAAGGTTGTGATGACTAATGGTCTACAGTACTCCAGCCTTCAAAGTGACTGCCACAGCAAACGATCACATTTCATGCACCAGTTTCTTTGACATATGCTCTAGGAAAACAAGCATTTCATATTCCTAATGTCTTGAAGCTCAGTGAGTAGAGAAATCATACTGCTTTGAAATGTGTCTCCAAGGTAATATAGAGGTAACTTTGAGTAATTAAGTTAGGAAAAATACTGTAATTTTTCTTTCTATTTCCCCACATCATCATCACAATTTGTTGTGTGATCTTTCCAAACCTGATGATACATAAAGGCTGGACATCTTTGACTGTGTTTAACTGAACCACCTTGATCTTCCTTTTTCCCAAAGCACAATTTTTGATGGAAGACATAGGTTATTGTCTTCTGTAAGGAGAAACTGATGGTACACTGATTCTCAAAGTATTATTATAAATACCTACTCTTTCAGAATGAGCTACTTGTGAAAGTCTCAGCAGTTGTGGTGCTCACTATGCTCTTAATGCACTTTCAGTCTTGAATGAAGTACAGTCAACTCAGGGAGCTCTGTGATGCAAAAAACTCTCCTGCTCCCTCCCTGCTATTTCTATGTGAAGGGAGAAGACAGCTACTTTTCTGCTATCTAAATAGCTTTGTTGGTTAGCTACAAGGAAAAAACAGTTGAAATTAAAAATGTAGGAGATGATGTGCACTAATTAACGTTACTCTTATAGCTCAATCATGTAGCCAGTATTTGTGCTTATAGTACTAAAAATTTTCTGTGATTGACATCAAGCTTACCTTTCTTCACAAACAGAAAAGCTTACCTGCTTAACTGACAGTCAAGTATAGAAATAAAATGTTCACTTAGATTTTTGTATGGTTTTGCTCCTGCATCCAAAATATCATATGCAAACTTGTTTGTATTAGAATTTCATACCCAGACTTAATAACTGTAATAATAATTCAGTCAGAGATAAAGATGAGAGTGTATCAAAATGTATGTGCAAGTGCTAACATGTGGAAAGTTTTTGTCAACAAAAGAACCGAAGTTACAGACCTGATACAGTCAGTAGATAGAACAGAAAAAATGCCCAAATAACAGCATTAGAGAATTGCAGAATTATGTTACTTTTGCTTCTTGTTTCATTTGCATGGACACCTATGATTAAAAAAAAAAAAAGTCAGAAATTTCTAAAAATGTTTGGTTTAGGTTATTTAATTTATAACTGCAATAAAATATTCCTTATGAGAGGATTGTCATTATATCTAAAAGCAGAACTTGGTCTATTAGTCATATTTAGTTTCAGTCCAAGCCATTAATGCTCCCTTTTTTCAGATGTCAAGTAACAATGCCCACAGCTTATTATTAGTTTACCTGCCTTTTAATTATATATAGCAACATAAGATTTAATTGCATCTCTTACTCTAAAATATGATCAATATGTCTAAATGTAGTCTGATACTTGGTTCACAAGCATGACTCTTTTACCAAATAAAATAATCTGAAAAATGTCACTGTTCTTGTCACAGACCATGCAGCCACCATAAGTTTGGCTTCTTGACCCCTTGTAATAGCAAGATGAAATCAGGATGACTGTTGTTCCTGGTATATTTGCTTCTGTCTACTTTGCACTGTATCATTTAGTCTCATTATTACTTTTGTGCCTAATTTTTGTATTCCTTCTTATCAGTATTCTCAGGAGGCTTGCATGCTATTCTGCTGAATAGTTAGGGTTTTTCTAGGAACTAGAGAAGAATGCTACTATTCCGTTTATCCTACAGCTATTCCTGTGTATAGGTGCTGAGTGTTTGACTCATGAGCAAACAATGTCTAAGACGCTACTACCTTTCTTAGGAATGTCAAGTTCCTGAACAATCTGAGCTCCCCAGTCACTATTGATGTCATCTACCTGGACTTGTGTAAAGCATTCGACACTGTCCCACACGACATCCTTGTCTCTAAATTGGAGAGACATCAATTTGATGGATGGACCACTCGGTGGATAAAGAACTGGCTGGATGGCCGCACGCAAACAGTTGTGGTCAATGGCTCAATGTCCGGCTGGAGACCAGTAACGAGTGGCGTCCCTCAGGGATCGGTGTTGGGACCGGTCTTGTTTAACATCTTCATCGCTGACATGGACAGTGGGATTGAGTGCGCCCTCAGCAAGTTTGCCGATGACACCAAGCTGTGTGGCTCGGTTGATACACTGGAGGGAGGAATGCCATCCAGAGGGACCTTGACATGTTTGTGAGGTGGGCTGATGCTAGCGTGATGAAGTTTAACCATGCCAAGTGCAAGGTCCTATACCTGGGTCAGAGCAATCCCAGGCACAGCTACAGGTTGGGCAGAGAAGAGATTCAGAGCAGCCCTGTGGAGAAGGACTTGGGGGTGTTGGTTGATGAGAAAATGAACATGAGCCGGCGGTGTGTGCTTGCAGCCCGGAACGCCAACCGTATCCTGGGCTGCATCAAAAGAAGCGTGACCAGCAGGTCGAAGGAGGTGATCCTGCCCCTCTACTCTGCTCTCCTGAGACCTCACTTGGAGTATTGTGTTCAGTTCTGGTGTCCTCAACATAAAAAGGACATGGAACTGTTGGAACAAGTCCAGAGAAGGGCCACGAGGATGATCAGGGGACTGGAGCACCTCCCGTATGAAGACAGGCTGAGGAAGTTGCGGCTGTTCAGCCTGGAGGAGAGAAGGCTGCATGGAGACCTCATAGCAGCCTTCCAGTATCTGAAGGGGGCCTATAGGGATGCTGGAGAGGGACTCTTCATTAGAGACTGTAATGACAGGACAAGGGGTAACAGGTTAAAACTTCAACAGGGGAAGTTTAGGTTGGATATAAGAAGGAAATTCTTTCCTGTGAGGGTGGTGAGGCACTGGAATAGGTTGCCCAGGGAGGTTGTGAATGCTTCATCCCTGGCAGTGTTCAAGACCAGGTTGGACGAGGCCTTGGGTGATATGATTTAGCGTAAGGTGTCCTTGCCCATGGCATGGGGGTTGGAACTAGATGATCTTAAGGTCCTTTCCAACCCTAAAGATTCTGTGATTCTATTTGGCCTTCAAGCCATTTTTGTGACCATTTTTATGATCGCAGTGTAACAAAAATTGTGTATGCAAAGCTAGGAACATGCCATGATTAAGAATATGGAACATGACAAATCTACTGTGATCTGAACCAGAACATTTTTTTCAGGTGGAAATAACCCTGTGTTGAATGAATGTATGTAACCTTACCTAGAAACTGCATTTTTTAATGGAAATGATGAAGTAAACATATGTAAAATACGTGTAAAACACATTGTGACCATTCTAGCATTAGACTGATGAGGAATTTAATATTATTATCCATAGGACACTGACTTCCAGCTCTCCTACTTCACATACAAACAGGAGGCACATTGTGGTATCCTCTACTTTTGCCATATGAAAGCAATTCAGACCTATTAACATCCAAAATTCTATTTCACATCTTCATTGAGATCAGGGTCAGCTCAGCCTTCTAAGTGCTGAAGTTTGGTTTTCCACTGATGTGAAAGGTTTGCCCACTTCTGCTAGGTCTGGGCAAATTAATAGGCTAGAAGAAAAGAAGTGAGTGGTGCTTTTTAATGGCTGTGTGATTTCACTTGCTTACAATGTGACGACTCAAAGATTAAGTCTGTTGATTTCATTACCTGACCTCATTTGTTATTAACTCATTTCTGTTCCTCTTTGGTCCAGGTCTGAAGCTTCTATGAGCCACCCAGCTTCTTGGCCACTTACGTCCATCCATATTGTTTATCTAATGTAATAGCTTCTTTCAGAAGATTCAGTAAACAACTTTTGTTAGAAACCTGATTATCACTGGGCCAAAATCCAAAGCCCCAGTCTCACACACATCCTCCTCTTCTGGCACTTCTGTAAAAACAAGAAGTGTTTTTACTTCTTGTTTTACTATCCAAAATCTGATGAACTTTAGGTGTAGATTTCAAGAACACTGACTTTGGGAGGTGTTCTTAATGTATGTCTTTTTGGGCTTTCAGCAAGCACAAATCTCTTTCTCAGGAGTACCACACTTTGAGCTGGATCCATGTGTACATTTCTTTGGCAAAGGATATATGCTCTGGACTGTGTTTAGCCAGACAAAACAGAGAACATACATGTGAGATTTCTCCATCTGAGATTTAAGCTAGCCTTTCACAGTGTCCCTTATGACCTTGCTATCCAAATGAGGCTTGCTGGTTTGGTATCATCTTTTTGACACATGATACTTGTACACAGCAGCAATGGGCTCTTGCAGACACTAACAAGAACCATATGATAAGGCTCGTACTTTAGCGTGTATTTTTGATAAGTGACACAGAAGTTGTTTGTTAGATTGCCACCAGCCAGATACACATTCCATCACCACACTGCAGCTGTTCAGCTGGTAGATGGATAACTTCTCTCAGTTGACTTCAGGATCCTTAAAGGAATGCACAGTTTACCAGATCCTGATAAGAATAGCAAGCTATTTATCTGCATAGGAAAAAGCTAGAAATGCATGTACTTCCCTTTCTGCATCCACAGAGGAGCTGTAGAAAGTTAGAGAGTCGTATTATTTAACCGGGTGATCTACAGCTGAGGGAGGTTAAGTGGCCCTGGTAGTATGCAAGGCATGCAAAATTGCAGAGAAAAATCTTTTCTTACTGATATATTACTTCAACAAGTCTCTAAGCACTATATGGACATATGCATGCTCTGGAAAGCCCTGATATAACTGGATAGTCCTGTAAGTGCTAAGCCATCCTATTTGTACAAAGTCAGCAATGCATTGTGTGATCTGTGGGTGTGAAAAACTCTTTATGTCACTAAATTCTCAAAAAGCAGATCTAGCTGTAGTTCTTCCAGATTCAAATAGACTGGCTGCCGACTGCTAACAGTCCTATTTTCTATGGTCAATGGCTGATAGTGAATTGCTGCTTGCTTTGTTTGATATGGAGAGAACTCAGTGTTAGCTTCATGATGGTCACCTACTTAAGTTTTTGACCCACTGATGAATATAACTAATCTGACATATAATCTTTTTACTATAGTTCAGCAAGATCCCTCTTGTTTCAGACCAAGAACTCATAAGGAATGATAACTTCATCATCAAGGCTTGTTTAATAACTTAATAATCATCTTCCTTTGGGAGATGATGAAAAAATTGTAGCAGGCCAGCATTTATACCTTTGTTCATAATGAGCAGCCAGAGACCATGCAAGCAGATCAAGGTGATTCATTGTCGTGGTTTAAATCCAGTCAGGCAACTTGTTCACTCACTCCCAGTGAGTGGTGCCGGGCTGACAACAATCGAGGCTCCCCCCCCCGGGCTCTCCCCTTCCCCGCTCCCAGAGGAATGGGGAGGAGGATTGAAAGGGTGCAACTCCTACGGGTTGAGACGAGAAGAGTCCAGCAACCAATGTACGACACAAATCACCACCGCTACCACCAACTACAACAATGATAAGGGAAAATAACAAGGGAAGAGAATACGATACCACCGGCCAAGAAACAAGTCCCACCCAGAAGCCCGTGTCCTTCCGGCTAACTCCCAGTTACCCCTGGGCATGACGTGCTGTGGTATGGAATACCTCTTTGGTCAGTTCGGGTCAGGTGTCCTGTCTCTGCTTCCTCCCGGCTTCCCCTCCTCCCTGGCAGAGCATGAGGCTCACAAAGTCCTTGGCCAAACCGAAACATCCTTGTTATCAGCTCTGTTCCCAGGCCGAAAGGCAAAACACAGCACTGCACCAGCTACCAAGAAGGAGAAACATGACTGCTACTGCTGAACCCAGGACATTCATATAGCTTCAGTATCTACTATTTGATCTTCTACTGACATCTGGACTCAAGTTTCCTGGATTTTCCTTTTGTTCATCTAGCAATCAGAATAACCTACTCCAAATCACTCTCATACCATAATGAAAAAAGTTACTGAGCAGTGATCAGCCCTTAAAACTCAGAAGCACGTATTCCATGATACATCTGGGGACAGCAGGCTATGCTGCACATTGCATAAAACAGCATAAAAGGTACGCAAGACTTATTTCTAAAGACAGAAATTAATACGTGGAAGAACACATGTCAGTATCTTGGATATCATAAATAAATGTAAATCAAATGTTTGGGGTTGTTTTGTTTTGTTTTGCCCAGTGAGCATAGAAGGAAGCAAGCATATTTCCTTATTGAGGCAGCAGAGTATTTTTTTCCTATATTTTCAATATTTTCTATATTTATTACTGTTTTGATCTATCCATCTCTGACTGAACTACCATGAAAGACCATGACAAGCGTCTTCAATTACTACTGAGCTTCAATCCAAGCCAAAACCAGTGATGTGTAACGCTTCATTCCTTGTGGTCTTGAATGTCCAGTAGAGATTTAAATTCATGGCAGCAGGCTGTAATGCTGAAGCAAAAGAAACAGAGTTTAGTTGGGCTCTGGTCCCACTTACTTTTGAAAAGCTCTGTATGTTCTTTACAGAAAAAATCATACTCTCTTTAAGAAAGAGTGAAGAACAGTTTTCAAACCCAAGCTTCTTGGTGCCACTGCAGAATTAGACTTTTATATTTTGTGTCTGTAGTTCCCAGTCCTACAGTTGAGCAGGAAATGAAGCAGCTCTGACACTTATATAGTACTCATCAAAAGCACAGGAAACCTGTGTAACCACATACTCAGAGTACAAATGAGAATGAACAGAAAATATTTTCAATGGTTACACAGAGCAGTAAATTAGATTCAGCTCCAGAATTTAATCAAGGAATTCATAGTAGTATATCAATATATTCATTATGATTTCTTCATGAAATAATGTCATGAACATAATGCAAGTATTCAGAATATAATGCAAGAAATGCACTATCCAAGTTGTAAACTTTTTGAGAAAGGTGACAAAAAGTGAGTGACCAAGTTTCTGAGTGGTGTCTCCGAAAGATGCACAATTTATGATAAGCACTTTCCAAGTCAGCACTTAGTCTTCCTTGAGCCTACTTCACCCAAAGTGTATCCATGGAGTGATGTACAAAGCCACCAGGTTTTAGCTATATTAGACTTCCAGATAGATAGGAGCAACTAGTGAGATGGTACCTGTTCTCATGTTGAAAAAAAAATACAATACAGGAGTGTTGAACAACACATAGCTGCAATAAAGCTACTGCACTCTGCCATATGACATGGTTTTGCTTTCACTTCAATGAGCCATCATTTATAGGGTTGCTTTATAAATTGTAGACATATCCCGAGTCTAATTCACCTGTCCTGTAAGTCAAGATGTTTTCATACATTTCTTTTACATTGCTGAAATATTAACATTCTTCCATGTTAATGTGAATTCATAAGGCATATTTCTGTCCTGTGAACTTAGCCAGCAGTAAAGGGGACTATCCTGTCTTGCTGGTGTCGAAATGGACATTTAGCTTTCTGGAGACAATGAAATGTGTTTTGTTGGCACCCAAAGCATCAGCAGCTTTTCTGTATCCTCTGAGTACTGAGTCAGGAAAATGTCACTTCAGCTGTGTTTACATCTTTTCATGCTCATTTAAAAAAATATTCAAGGGATCAAGCTTTCTAAGATGACAATATAAAAAAAAAAGCAGATAAATTTAAGCTAAAATGTTTGCTGAAACATATTTATTATTTCTTTTCATTTCTACTCCTTGATTTTTGATGCTTGATTAAACAGATCAATCCATCAGGAAAGAGACATTAACATGTGAGTTGTGTAAATAGCCAATGGCATAGAAATTGGGAAAAAGGAATATTGATATTCACAACAGAATGATGATGAATTTGTTTTGAATAATTTTAAAATAATTAAAAAGAATAAAATTGAAGTTTCTCAATCTGCTTATGAATATTCTGAAAAGGAAAAAAAAAAGAATTTTTCACTTCGAGGTTTTATTATGTGTTCTACTTCAGGTACAGGTCAAAAGATTGCTTTCCAGTTGACATCCCTGTCTCACTGAACACAGCATCTGCTTCTGAGATTTACCCAGGTGTGGCAGATGAAAATCAGCTGTGTTAGGATCACTCAAAGGGTGTATAGAAGGAGACACACTGCCTATTTAGACTGAGATATACATAAACTGTGTTCCTATAAAGATACCAGTTTTGTTAATTGGTTCATTACACCAATGCTAATCATCAAGTGGAAAAAAAATGTATTTAACAGAGTAGTTTTCAGTTTAATTAAAACTTACAGCCACTTTATGTGTAGAATTGTTTAATATTAAGAATTTAAACTAGCAAAAACACTGTAGTTTGTGTAGGTTTTACATTTTATGCTCGTAATACCTAAGCCACAGTCAAATGATACCTGATCCAGCACAAAGCTTGTTAGTACAACAATAATCTGTCAACACTTTAAAACAAATTCAAACAGCCAGGTGGAATTTATTCCATATCAGCATTCTGTATCATTTGGCTAACATGGTTTTTGGCAGTACAAGTCCTGAAATTGTATTTTCTGTTTTCACAGTATCACAGTATGTTAGAGATTGGAAGGGACCTCAAAAGATCATCTAGTCCAATCCCCCTGCCGGTGCAGGAACACCTAGATAAAGTTTTCAAATTATAACTTCTCTATTTTACATTGGTTTAGCTGTAGCATTTAGGTGCATGTCTCAAGTAACTCTTACTTGATTTTTGTGTACAGATAATATAAAAAAAATGGTTTTCCATCCTTTCTGGAAGAAGCTTTTATTCCAAGAAATATTCTGAATATAAAGGTTAGTATGCTTAATCTCTGCATCAAGAAAATAGGATGAAGCAAATCAAAGTACATGCAGCTAATGGCAAGAAGTTAGAAATATCTGGGCAGGAAACTGGTAGTTTACTCAAGGCAAAATGAAAGCTGACTGCTAGGAAGGGTTTTTCTTTTCCCCTGGATGACAAGAATAAACCTTGTCTATGACTGAAGATTCATCAGTGGAAATTGCCCCTGTTTTCTGTTAGCTGAGTAGAATTTCTGCTTGGATTGTCAAGCAACAGAAAGGCAAAAACACCTGAGAGACTGATATCCAGAAGATGTTTGGATAAATGTAGAGGGCAGTTTGTTTGGTTTTTGCGTTTTTTTTTTTTTTGTTGTTGTTTTTTTTTTCCCCTGGGGAAAACCCCCAACAATAACAACAAAAACTTCAAAACAGTTTGTAAATTAAATATAATTCAAAACATTTGTTACAAAAGGAACCATGGATACTCAGTGTGCATTGGAAAAAGACCTTGAATTCTGTTAACCTTGTTTATTTGTCAAACTGCCATCAAAGTGATGTCTGATGAGTGATATTTACTATCTTTCAGAATACAGCTATCATGTTACAAATGCGATGGAATTGTAATATATTTCATTTTCCCTGGGCAACCTTTCCTGTTTTACAGTATTGAATACCATACTTCTGTTTTAAGCAGTGCATGCAGTTGGTCTTCTTCAATTTAATTAAGAAAAAGAAAAAACAAACCTGTAACTACAAGATAATATGGAAAGACCTCCCCAGACATAGTGAGGGTCCTAATATGTGTTTAAATGTAAATGTACTAAAACTAGACAGAGATTTCCTGATAGATCTCTAAGGTCACTGAAATTTCAATGGTGAATGTACTATTTGAAAACAGCAAGTAATGCACTAAGGCAGAGCTGTGTTTCCTGCTGTGGTCCTTCTTCATCTACCCTTGTCTGACATACACCACACAAGGCAAGCAAATACTTTAGACCCTGAAATTTTGCAAGTTCCATCCTAGCTTTAAAGTGATTCTGTTTTACAGAAAGTTTGAAATAAATATTTTTATTATGTGAAGATGAAAAATAACCCAAATCTCACTGTATTAACATTTACACCTGTAAAACGCATTCAGAATATGACTTTGCCTATTTTATAATCCAAGGTTTATATTCTGTGGCATATGCAGTCAATGCAGTCTATTTCCATGGAATAGATGTGCACATGCATGTGCAGACGTGTGTAAGAGGATGTGCGCTATGATTCTGAAAAGGAGCAGGATCAATTTCCTTAAAACATAAAACTTCAAGCAAACAAATAAACAACACATGCTAACCTGTTAATAATAGTTCAGAAGACGTGACTGTGAAAGGCAGCTGTCTGCCACCCTTTGTCTTTTGGGATGGCTATTCTTACAGAGATATAACAGACTGTTATATAGGGTTATTTAAGAGAACTCAAGCAAGAATTTATGGCTTCAGTCTCTGCAGTGTTTTCTGCACAGGCATTCACTTAATCTGTTCAACAGACTGCTAAGATTTCCGGCACTGGAAGCAATGGTCAGTTTGCTCCCTATTGCTTGTGGCTCTGGAAGTGACTGCCAAGGAAGGATTATCCTGTAAAGCTAAGGGTGATGGTGGCATTACCACTACCCTGATGGGAAGGAAGGGTGGACTAGCACCTTGAAAACTCCTGATTATTCCAAGCTCCTTTGCTCCATCTTGTTTCCGCATGGTCCTACCCATTTTCAAGGTCATGCCAACTCCTTTGAATTTAGCTCCTTCTTCAGTGTTAATAGCTATCTCACCCCTAAGTTTTGCCCTCCTCTTCCTCCTGCCCCTGTTTTTTTGAGCAGGCTTTCTGCCACTCAGTGCCCACAGCTTGGGATCCTGCCAACGCCACTGAGACAGCAAGTCTGGAAATAGCCTATAGAGCCCCACTTTGCTAGACTGGAAACTTATATAAAATAGGCTGGAAAGATTTATACAATGATATTGGCAACTGATTAACAGAAAAACACACCCAGAAGCCAAAATGAATTTTGAGTACTGTGGAAGGATGCCAGATTGACAGCTCCACTAACTACAGCTAGCCACAGGACAGAGACCAGCTCCACCAGCTTCTGCCACCCCTGTATGAGAAAACCCGATGACTGTGATGAACAACATTCAGTTTCTATAGCTGTGATTTTTTTTGTTGTTGTTGTTGTTGTTGTTGTTGTTGTAAGACCTGAAGGTTAAATTGTAAGGAAATAATCTCATGAGCAGTGTATATGCCTGTTTCGGGTAGACTTTTTTTCCTTTTCCAAAGTTCATGGCAAAAGTTTGGATCACATAAGTATTTACAGTAGATCAGACTCGTGCCACCACTCAGATGTTTCTATAATTGCCCATTTTCACTTGTCTATGACTCATAAATAATCAGTACCTATTCTCAACACAGGACAGAAGAGAGACTTGGGGTTCCAGGCTGGAGCAAGATGAGTGGTGTCAACTGCATGTAAGGTAGGCATGCGAAAATGCCAGGGCTAAATAAGTCTTTTTTGGGCCAGAGGTATATTACTCTCAGGGACTGTGTTAGACTTTCACAGATACTTCGTGCTGTAGAGTTTGACCTGCCAAGAGCTGACCCAGTGATATGTCTGTGACTTACCAATGTCCATTATGGATCACCTCAACTTTGCCTTTGCTTCTGAGGTCAATATTTTTTTTTTATCCAATAAGGTTCAACTACTTTTTAGGCAACAAATTCCAGTGCAAATAGTGTCTGGTTTATTCTCTTTGCTGTTTTATTCAATGCCTTTTTTACTTCATAGATTTATTATGCTCTTGCAGGACTTAATGGTAACATTGGCTGGAACTGAAAGCCATGTCTTTTCCCACTGTTGTAAATTCTGACAAGAACCAGGCTTTTCCAGAGTGTCATGTCAGCAGATCACTGGATCTAACATAGACAGTGCCTACAACAGGTACCAGCAGTCAATACTTTCTCTCTGCAGAAGATTTTCTCCCTATGAAAGTCTCTCTTGCATTCTTCAGCAGGCAGGGCATTAATTATCTTTTCTTAAAGCATATTGACACAGTTTCAGTTGGAGGGTGAGACAACCTGCAGCTTCCTTATAGCCCAACTGAACTGTCCAGGATTAAGGAAGCAAGACCATACTTTGAAAGTCCTGATATGACTGAGCTTTGAAATAGGTTTTGGGTTGTTCAGTCATGTCAAGAAAAGGTATCTCTATCCATTTTTTGCATGCCTAGCAAAGCTTGGGGTCACACAGAGGAGCATCTACGAAGTTCAAGTGCAACCACATTAAGTAGTTGTGCAGTAATGAGTTTTCATAGCCACAAGGAGAACTTAAATCTGGTCCAAGACCTATTTAAGTAATCTTAGTGCTTTATAACATCTGTCTGTAACAGAAATTCAGAAACTATCCATACTTTTGATTACAACACAGTTTTTGTATTTATTTGCTCTTAACCTCACAAAGTGTCTCCATGATTGGCTTAAAATACCACAGAGTACTGTCTATAGCTCTCCTTATATGCCAGCTCTGAGCAAAATGGGTGGTGTACTCAGTTTATGGAGGGTAAACCCTGCAGTAAGTCACTGAAGGTCCCTGAAAATGTAGGTATGGTCCTGACTACTGCTGCCATCTTATGATTGGAATATTCCTTCCTGGTGTGAAGATCTGAATTCAGGGTTACTGAATCTCACAACTCTTCAGGGATGACCTTTGACACTGAGTTTTTCTAAGCCCATTCTTCCTTCTCTGGCTGTGTCTCTATGACTCTGACCTGAGAGTCACACTAAGAGAAAGAACACTTACCTAGGTGCTGCCTAGTTCTCCTCTGGTGTACAAGACATTCAGATAAGACAAAAGCTGTAGATGGTGGTAATCTTTATGTTTATGACTATTTTTTGCATTTTTTGTCCAATAAATGTCAGGTAACTTGACTTCCCTTCTATTAATTTGGGCTAGAACTCTTTTGTTTGCTTTCTCTTGCACTCTTTTCTCTGCTGTAGTTGATTTGCTGATGAGGTCATCCTGGAGACTGGTGGCTGACTAGGTCCTAGAAAAGGAGAGAGACCTTCTCATACTGAGAGGGTCTGGGAATCCAGGTCACTTTCTCAGAGCCTTTTTATTGCCTGGCTATTCAAAAAGACCAGAGACAGAGGAGCACTAAGTCCTCCTAACAATAAAAAACCCAAACCCAAACCCAACCAACCAACCAAAAAACAAAAAAAACCCAAACAAAAAAAAAAAAATATCCTAACACTTCATCGCTGAAAATAGATAAATAATAAGCCTGCTGCTCCAAATTTGAAGACATCTATTCTTCTAATAGTAGAGGGCACACCAATATTTGCTTTAGAAGTATAGATCATTCTGTAAGGAATATGAATGTAAGATCCATTACATCCAGAAATCTGTGCTTTTTAAAATTTAACCAGGAAAATATGTATTTACTGTCTTTAAAAACCGTGCTGTTTTTTTTTTTTTTTTTAAAGGACAGTAAAGCAAATTTTTGTGTGTTTCTGGAAATAATAGAATAAGTCTTTGCTTTCACTGGAGCTTAATTAGTTAATTTAACATAGCATCAGCCTTACTATGAAGCTTCATAAAAATTTTCATTTCCAAGTAGCTTTCCTGTTCAGATATAAGAAAGTGCATCTAAACCAATAAAGCCTGATTCAGGAACTGATGGGCTCATTTGCATCCTGGCCAGAACATCAATCAATAGCTTTCATTTTGTTTAAAGGCCAGGGGCCAAATTAGAGTTTGAAAAGTCCTTGTAAAACCTTTGGGTAATTTTGAGATTGAGTCTAATGAAAGATTAATGAATACAGGCATCCATTTCTAGCCCATCTATTTACATATGACTTTTACCTTCAGTCCTGCTGAGTGGCAATCAAAGTGAATCAGTCTGTTTCTGCAGATAGTGCTGACTAGCTAAGAATAGCTTCTGCTACCATAGCAGTCTCTTCATGTCATTCTTTTCTATGCCTGTATCATAAACCTAGAAAGTCAGATATAGGAAAGAACAGTGACTGCAGTCTGGGTGTTTATCCCTCATTAAAAAATTTACCATAATTTCCACTCTAAGTCTAGGAATTATAGTAAATACCTAGCTGTAGTAAAGATCACCACATAATGGCTCCTCCAAGCTACAGACATGGAGAAAATTTTCCACTGGTGAATAACAGCAGAAACGTACTTTGAAACGTAAATCATATTTCCAAAACCAACAGCTAAGTACATTTGGATACATGATTCTTTTTGCAATTGTAATCACTAGATTAACCCAAAGTTTTGTATTCTATTTAATAAATGCAGCTAATTTATTTCACTTTTCCAGTATGACTTGATCTGCAGAGAAAACCACAGATTTTTATTACTCTTATGCTATTTACTTTTATGAAACGTTTGATTCGTTTTCTTGTTTCAGGGAGACTAAAAATTCTTGGTCTAAAATTTTGTGGCAAGACTAACAAACATCTCAGTTTTTGTTTTCATATGAAATGAGTTCTTTCTTAGAAAGATTTTATGTGCCCCGCAGAAAGCATGGTCTTTGCTGATGAAAGTTGCTAGACATTTCTCATACTACTAACATTAATTTAAGCTTCATGAGAACACTCTCCTAAATTTCCTCTGAATGATCTTTTTACATTCAGGAATGTTACTTTGAGGTTCAGAAATGTGTGAGAAACCTTTCTTACAAATGTTTTTTTCCTCTATCTTGTAGTTTAAACTTTATGTACAAAATAAACCAGTTCTCAGAGCACACTCTCTCTCCTTCTCCAGATAAGTAGGTAATGCATATTTGCTTTGTCCTGATCACCATCAAATAGCTGAGTGTATCTGAAGTGTTCTTCAGTCGTTCCCTCTCTTTCAAGCGCAAAAGTAACAGCCCCTACAAAGGTGGTCTTCATCAAGAGTTACTGCTAGCTCAAGGAACTCTCCTGTGAAACTTCTTCTCAAGGCTGCATGCCAGATTCAGATCTTTAGGCAGGGGAAAGGCCTAACCATCCCAAGAGGAATCTGGGCATGGTAGGGTAAGATGGCGCACAGAAACCCATATGTGGTGACTGCAGCCATCAAGAAGACTTTTAGTGAGACATTCAGGAAACCAGAAACCTAACAGGTTGCCAGGAGCTGCAGGAATGAGACACATCAATCTGTGACTATCCACAAGGGGCCAAAACCTCATGGACTGATTATGGCGCTACTAAATTCTGTGCAGTACTAATTTGTGCAGCAAATCCCATTGGTTCCAAAGGAAAATCACCTTAGGATTTGCTTTATGTGAAGAAAATGAATTAAACATACGTGAAACCATACAAATAAATCTCAATGTCTTTTTATAAAAGAGAAGAAACTCTCAATATAATTCTTCCTTCTGATAGCTCTTTGCAGCTTGTTTCTTTTTTTCTGAGTGTAGACACTGCTTTTTCAATGTGTTCTGTAAAATTCCTAGAGCATTTTGTCATGATGTATAGACATTTATATCAAAAGGCTACATACTTAAACTGTCCGAGGGAGCCACAACATTTAAGAAAGCATGTTGTATGAGGAAATTGTGAAATCTGTGTGCCTGTTCCAGTTCTTTTTGTAAAATCAATAACTTGTTTTAGTCCAAAGCTTGAAGACACAGCTGCTTAATGTGTGAAACAAAAAGCACACAATTCTCACCTAATAAATACATAAAAAAAACCCAGATGTATAAGTGAAGGGATATCCTAAACATTGTTCACAACAAGAAAAGTTCTGATTTGCACCCCAAGGCCTCTGATCATAATATTCTTCCCTGTGTAATCAGTTAAAAGGTGTCCTTCACAAACTCAGTGTCACCAGCTCTTACTAAATTCTTGTTGTCTACCAGAGATGACACAATATGAACTAAAAAGAAGGCAGGCATATGGCAAGATGGTATGATGGAAACTTGTCTTCCCTTTCCTCCCATATTACGTGATCTAATAAAAGATATTACCCCACAACTGTGGCTTCTTGTGACTCTCATTGCATTTTGAAACCCTAAGACTGCTTCTGTAGGATTATCTCAAAGCCTGTTTGTCTTATGCAAGCAATGAAGCCTAGTGAATAAATACATACAACTTTACAGATAGAGAATTTTTGCAGTTAATTTGAAATGAGAGTAGAAATACTTTAAATGCTTTCAGAAGACTGGAAAAGTAACCAACCAACTCAATCACAATTTTTCTGTGCCACTATACACTTTTCTTTCAGATAAACCATTTACCTTCAAACAAGCCATTAATCACCTGATGAGTGACTCCAGTAACTGAAATAAATGTTTATGAAAATTATGTTCTGTGGACCATGCAAATGAACTTACCCAAACTCAGCTCCACGATATAGACATGAATACCTAATCCTTTTTTTCTTCCATAGCTTTTTTAATAATCTCTGGAAAAAAAAACCATGTTCTTCCTGGGTGCTATAAAACTCATGTCAAAGTAGGCAACCAGAATAAATCAAATGAATTGAACTCTAAACTGACCTTTTTATCTGATATAAAACTGACATAAAGGGATGTTAGGGAGACTACCTCAGATGTAGAATGCTACGAAGTAGATATTTAAAGTTTGGTGAGATGAATCTCATTTCATCAGAAGATGAATCCCATAAAAAATGGCTGTTTAATAGCCAGTCTATAGAAGAGGTTGTGACACCCAATATTTTACTTTCTGATTTAATTTGACAAACCAATTATAACTTTACAGAGTTCTTCAGTTCCTGCTTCAATTGTCAGTCCTGAAATGCTTTTGTATTATAATTTATTTTCTAATCCAATAAAAATTATTGCACTTGGAACACTGTCTACTTCTCCCAAGGGTAGCTGTAACTGAAAATGTTCTGTTATTCATTTCTTCTTGTCCTGCTGATTTTATTAGTATTTATCCTACAGAATTGTAAAATTCCTGCATCAACCTATGTGAAAAACATAAAAATAACAGGTATCAAGAAAGAAAAGACCCAAACAGATTTGTTAGCAGTTTTTCAAATGTTACAAAATTTACTATTTTTTGCTTAAAAACACAAGTTAATTTTAAGAAAATTATTAATTTATTTGTATTTATGCTCATTAATGTAGATTTAATCACATTTTAGCCAACTAAAAGAGGTATCCTAGCAAATGAGTTAGGATAATGGATTGTGGTTCTGATTTAAGGTAATACTATTTATTCTCTCTAGCTGTGTCTCTGTGCTGCTGGTATATTTGCTATTGGATCTGTAACATCTCTGCAAAAGAGGATTAGAAATGCCTTCCTCCACCCACTGAACAGTCATGTTTAGCCCAGAGCTGTTCTCTTTGTCACCTCTGAGTTACTGGCTGAGCTTAAACCATGACAGTGGCTTTGGTAATTTCACATAAACATAAATGCATGGCTGGAGTGGACAGTGACGGACAAGGACTTCTTAAGCCAGCTTTTGTACTGAAGACAACATGCAGTTTGATGGTGTTATGCTATTTCTTAGGATCTCCACAGTATCACACAGTATCACAGTATGCTAGAGATTGGAAGGGACCTCGAAAGATCATCTAGTCCAATCCCCCTGCCGGAGCAGGAACACCTAGATAATGTTACACAGGAATGTGTCCATGCGGGTTTTGAATGTCTCCAGGGAAGGAGACTCCACAACCTCCCTGGGCAGCCTGTTCCAGTGTTCCGTCACCCTCACTGAGAAGAAGTTTCTTCTCAAGTTTAAGTGGAACCTCTTATGTTCCAGTTTGTACCCATTACCCCTTGTCCTATTATTGTTTGCCACTGAGTAGAGCCTGGCTCCATCCTCGTGACACTCCCCCTTTATATATTTATAGACACTTATAAGGTCACCCCTCAGTCTCCTCTTCTCCAAACTATAGAGACCCAGCTCCCTCAGTCTTTCCTCATAAGGGAGATGCTCCACTCCCTTAATCATCTTTGTTGCCCTTCGCTGGACTCTCTCCAGCAGGTCCCTGTCCTTCTTGAACTGAGGGGCCCAGAACTGGACACAATATTCCAGATGGGGTCTCACCAGGGCAGAGTAGAGGGGAAGGAGGACCTCTCTCGACCTACTAACCACCCCCCTTCTAATACACCCCAGGATGCCATTGGCCTTCTTAGCCACAAGGGCACAGTGTTGGCTCATGGTCATCCTGTCGTCCACTAGGACCCCCAGGTCCCTCTCCCCTACACTGCTCTCTAACAGGTCGTTTCCCAACCTATACTGGAACCTGGGGTTGTTCCTGCCCAGATGCAGGACTCTACACTTTCCCTTGTTATATTTCATCAAGTTATTCCCTGCCCAACTCTCCAGCCTGTCCAGGTGTCGCTGGATGGCAGCACAGCCTTCTGGCGTGTCAGCCACTCCTCCCAGCTTAGTGTCATCAGCAAACTTGCTGATAGTACACTCAATTCCCTCATCTAAATCGTTGATGAATATATTAAATAATACCAGTCCCAGTACTGACCCTTGAGGCACTCCACTAGTTACAGGCCTCCAACTAGACTCAGCCCCATAGACTACAACTCTCTGGCTTCTCTCCTTCAGCCAGTTCGCAGTCCACCTCACTACCTGATCATTCAGACCACACTTCCTCAATTTAGCTGTGAGGATGCTGTGGGAGACTGTGTCAAATGCTTTGCTGAAGTCAAGGTAGACCACATCCACCGCTCTGCCATCATCCATCCACCGTGTTATTTCCTCATAAAAGGCTAAGAGATTGGTCAAGCATGATTTCCCCCTGGTGAAGCCATGTTGACTTCCCCTCATAACCCTCTTATCCTTGATATGCCTTAAGATGGCACCAAGGATAAGGTGTTCCATCACTTTCCCAGGGATGGAGGTGAGGCTGACCTGTCTATAGTTACCCGGGTCCTCCTTCTTGCCCTTTTTGAAGACCGGAGTGACATTTGCTTTCCTCCAGTCCTCAGGCACCTCTCCCATTTCCCAAGACTTGGTAAAGATGATGGAGAGTGGTCTAGCAATGACTTCCGCCAGTTCCCTCAGCACCCGTGGGTGCATCCCATCTGGACCCATGGATTTATGGATGTCCAGATTGCTCAACTGGTCTCTAACCCATTCCTCATCGACTAAGGCAAACCGCTCCGTCGACCTGACTTCATCTAAGGTCTCAGGGGTACAGGGCTCTTCAGGACTGCCTGCAGCAGAGTAGACAGAGAAAAAGAAGGCATTCAGTAACTCTGCCATCTCTGTATCTTCTGTCACCAGGGCACCCATCCCGTTCATCAGTGGGCCTACATTGCCTCTGGTGTTAGTTTTGTCTGCCATGTATTTGAAAAAGCTCTTTTTGCTGTCCTTGACCCTTCTTGCCAGGTTTAATTCTAAGGATGACTTAGTCCTCCTAGCTGCCTTCCTACATCCTCTAGCAGCAGCCTTATATTCCTCCCAAGTGGCCAGCCCCTCCTTCCATGACCTGTAAACTCTCCTCTTCCACTTGAGCATACCCAGCAATTCCCTATTTAGCCATGCAGGTCTCTTGGCCCTCTTCCTTGACTTCCTACGTGTCGGGATGCTCCGATCGTGAGCACAGAAAAAGCAGTCCTTGAATGCCAACCAACTATCTTGGGCCCCTTTACCTTCAAGCAGCCTTGCCCATGGGATTTCCCGTAGCAATTGCTTGAAAAAGCCAAAGTTTGCCCTGCTAAAGTCCAGGGTTGCAATTCTACTTGCTATTCTACTAGTCCTACCACACAAGATCCTGAACTCCACCATCTTGTGGGCGCTGCAACCAAGGCAGCCCTCAACCCTTACTGCTTCAACCAGATCCTCCTTGTTAGTGAGGATGAGATCCAGCAGCGCTCCTCTCCTGGTCGGCTCATCCACCATTTGCAGGAGGAAGTTATCATCCATACACTGGAGGAACCTCCTGGACTGTGGCTGGGTTGCCGAATGGTCCTTCCAGCAAACATCAGGGAAGTTAAAATCCCCCACAACGACCACAGCCTGTGACTGTGAGGCCGCTCTCAGCTGCCTGTAGAAGGCCTCGTCAACTTCCTCACCCTGATCCGGTGGTCTGTAACAGACACCTACAACAGTATCCCCCCTGCCAGCCTGCCCCTTAATTCTCACCCACAGACTCTCAACTCACTCGTCATCTGTCCCTGGACAGAACTCAGTGCATTGTAGTTGCTCTTGCACATAAAGAACAACCCCACCACCCCTCCTGGCTGGCCTGTCTTTCCTGAAAGGGACATAGCCCTCCATGACTATATTCCAGTCATGTGAGCTGTCCCACCACGTCTCTGTAATTGCCACCAGATCACAGTCTCCTGACTTAACACAGGTTTCCAACTCCTCCTGCTTATTTCCCATGCTGCGCGCATTGGTGTACAGACATTCCAGGGAGCGAGCTGAGCACACCGATTTCACCCTAGGAT